AGTCCCTGAAGCATTGCCATGATTCCCTAGCCCGGAAGATCACAAGCAAGGAAGACCAAAACTTGGGAGACGTGCAGCTCTCACCATAGCCGAGAGATGCAAAGGAAAGCAACTCTGAACGGCTCACTACTTTGACTCAAGCTCGCTTGCTCACGGTTTCCGCAATTGGGGCTCTGCACCTTCCAAACCCCCCATTTCAACATGGTCGATATCTTCACGGGCAAAATCCCCCCAAAAAGGGAAAGGAAGGAAACCGGTCTGGCGGCAAAAGTTTCTCCAGAAAAAGGCTACACAGGGCAAGAGCATAGAGGACTTCATATCAGCGCAGAGAGAGACAGAGACAGACAGACAGACAGACGGACGGACGGACGGACGGACGGACGGACAGACAGACAGACAGACAGAGAGAGAGAGAGGGAGAGAGGGAGAGAGGGAGAGAGGGAGAGAGGGAGAGAGGCAGAGAGGGAGAGAGGGAGAGAGGGAGAGAGGGAGAGAGACAGACAGACAGAGACAGACAGACAGACAGAGACAGACAGACAGCCAGACAGAGAGGGAGAGAGGGAGAGAGGGCGAGGGAGAGCCGTCGCGAAGACAACTCGATGTCACAGAGGTACACAGTTAGCAACAGGTAGCCAACACATGCAGCGCAAGCTTCTCTGCCGATGTGCTAACTGCTAGGTAAACCAAGAGCAAGCTTCACCGCGCTGGGCTGTCCGTTTTCAGATCCCCTGCAAGTGGAAGGCTCAACCGAAAAGCTAACTGAAAAGCTAACAGCTCGAAGCTATCCGTTTTCAGATCCTAGTGGAAACTACCTCGAAGCCAACTGAAAAGCTAGCAGCCAGAACCGCACGGCTGGTTGAACCACCAAGCACCCCGGAGCCTGGATCCAAATACGAGAGCCAACATGGCTTGTCCTTTTGCGAGAGAGTCGTTCTTTGGGGTTGTTTTACCGGGGAAACTGGTTGTTTTACAGGGAAACTGAAAGGAAACTGGTTGTTTTGCAGGGAAGCTGAGAGGAAACTGGTTCTTTTACCGGGGAAACCACAAGGAAACCCACTAAAAGGTCCCCTGGTTTTTAGCAACACCCAAATTTTGACTGGGAGCGCAAACCGGCTTTCGTCGGGCGAGCTCGCACGCCCACCTCGTTGCCTGTCAGGGCAAAGTCCAGCATCTCCTGGTATCTCGATTCCAGAAACGGGCCCCACCTACTGCAAGTGGCTAACAAGGGAAGCCCAAAGGAAAGCCCTGCTTTGGTTCACTCATAGGTGTCCTTTTGGTAAAGTAGATGGCCCTGGTAATGGAATAAAGCCAACCTAAACCAGTGCTTCAAACCAAAACAACCCAAAACGGACATTTATGGGTTCACTTGTGTTTCACAGGGATGTGTTTCCCTGTGGCTTCCGGAACCCGTGCCGTTGGCTGAATTCATTGCAAGTTCCCTGGGTGGGCACCCCTGCCCAAGGACCGACAACAATGCTTCACGGGAATACTTCGGATGCCCTAAACATGCAGCAAGTAAGGGGAACAAGGGAAGGCTTGTAATTCACCGCAGTCGAACCCTGGTGGTATGAGGTTGGCTCACTTGCAATATATGTCTAGTGAACCCATGGATGACTCCCGGTCTCACTAAGGAGGGGGAGTGGCTATCAGCCATGGCTCTGTGCAACCAGTGGCCCTGGCCAGGCCTATGCATCCCCTAGTTGCAGACCTTGCCTAGTCCTACACATGTTGGAAGCAAAGTTTGTGCTGGGAGATATGTATGCTGGAACGAGGAAGCCCTTTTTGAGGGTTGAAACCCCTGGTTGTTTGCAGGCAACTCACTGAAAACAAGAAGGGATTTCAAGTGCCACTTCACAGGCTTCTTCAAATGGACAAGCTACAGCAGGAAACCCCAACAAAGCCCTGTGAAAGTCATACGAGCCACAGCCGCCATCCTGGGCAAATCAGTGAGGCTTCCCGAAAAAATTCGGGGGGGGGGGTGCGCGACGCCCCTTGTCCTGAAACCCAGCTTGATAGACTACGCAACCAAATGATCGAGCATCCTGTGTGACAGGCCGATAGTTCGGCCGGAGCCCCCATAGCTTCGCGCCTACTTCGCACGGTTTAGAGAATTCGTTTTCCCAAAGGAGCACCAACTTCAGGTCAATAGTGGGTGCCAGTAGAAATTCGATCTTGATTTGTGGGGAGCACGTTACGTTGAGCCTTGGGGTGCCTGCCCGCTGATCCGCGAGAATTCCCCGACGAGTTTGGCCCATCCCGGCTAAAATGCCGAACACTGATCAACACGCTCTCTTGAGAGGGGTCCCGTCCATCTTTGGTGAATCCTTTCGTCCAAGGGGACCCCTCAGAACTTCCATTTGGTTAAGCCCCCTGGGAAAAATAAGACAAATATTTCCAGTAGTGTATTCATTCCAGCAAATGGAAGATAATAAGTGGGCTGTCCTCATCCCCCGCTCAACGTTTAACTTTTAGTAGGTTAAATGGAAATCCCCACTAAACACTAAAACACCAAAAAGCTAAGGAACCGGATGGCTGGCATAAGTGGGGGTTGATCAAACAGGGGTCAGAAACTACCTCCCCCAATACGAAAAGCCGTCCTGGGCGAGGAGCTCTGCGTTCTCGGCGGCCTGACAATGAAAAGCAGGCCACCGTGCTCCCGTTTCTGTCGGAAACGGTTTGGATGTGGCGGTTTTCTGTGGATCCAACCCGCTAGGAAAGAAAAACTAGAGTATTAAAAGAGTACCAGGTAAGCCGGCGAAGCCAGGGACGGAAGTTTCGAAAAAAATATTTGTCAACTATAGGATCTCTTTTGATTGACTTTTCTTCTCTTCTCTTTTCTTCTTTCTTCCTCCGTCTTGCTTCTTGCTTCTTTCTTCCTTTTTCCTTCTTCCTTCTTCTTCTTTCCTCTTTCCTCTTCCTCTTTTCTTCTTTCTTCTTTCTTCTGTTTCTCTTTGTTCTTTCTTCTTCTTTCCTTTCTTCTCTTTTCTCTTCTCTTCTCTCTTCTCCTCTCTCTTTTCCTTTCTTCTATTCTCTATTCTTTTATTTTCTTCTCTTCTTTTCTCTCTTTTCTATTCTTCTCTTTTCTTCTCTTGTCTTCGCTTCTCTCTTCGCCTCTCTTCTCTCTTCTCTTCTCTTCTCCCTTCTTTCTTCTCTTCTCTTCTCTTCTCATATCTTCTCTTCTCTTCTCTTATCTCTTCTTTCTTCTTTGTTCTTTCTTCTCATCTCTTCTCTTCTCTTCTCTTCTCCTATCTCTTCTTTCTTCTTTCTTCTTTCTTCTCGTCTCTTCTCTTCTCTTCTCTTCTCTTGTCTTTTCTTCTCTTCTCTTTTCTCTTCTGCTGTGCTACTTTCGTATTTAAAAGTTGCGATTTTCGAGCCGTAGCTGCGAAAGTCCCAAAGTTTTGCCCCTGCCAGCAAATCTGCACCGTCTGCACCCCCGAGCGCCTGCCAGCTCATCTGCACGGCTGCGAAAGTGCTGCCCCTACCACGAAATCTGCACTTCAGGGTACCAAGGTGCTGCGCCTGCCATGAAATTTGAACCTCCGAAATTGTCTCCGCGAGCGTGCCATTGGTGAACTCTGCGAGACCGTGGCGAACCCGTGGCGAACCCGTGCGCAAAACAGAGGTACCCTTCGCGTTGTTCATGCGCGCTGCGAACTACACTTTTTGTATTACGGAAGTTTTCTAACTAAACTTCTTTTGACTAAAAACGGACCCGCAGGGGGCAGAACTGGTGAAATCGACAACAAGCGCCTCCAAACCGTTTTCTAGACATTCAACCCTTCGGAGACCAAACCAAAAAAATGGGCTGAATAACTAGGCATGGGAAAAACCCACGGGAACCCTTGGGTTTTTGGCCGTCTAGTCTAGGCAACTGGGATGCCAAGTTCAAAAAAGGCGATCCAAAAATCAGCCTTCCTGAATGGACTGGATACCTCAGGTCAAAGAAAACTTCAGAGACCCCACTGGCTATCAGGAAGATAGACAGTTTGCAAACCCTTGGCTCTGTGGACATACAAAGGGACGACGTCTCGCTGGCTTCTTGGAAGAAATTCGGCCGCACTTGACCTTCCCTTCTTGTTTAGCCATCACCCCATATGGGTCTGTCCTTTTGAAGGATCTCCCTCTTTTCGTGGTGTTCAAGGGAAATTGAACATGACCAACTAGTCTTCTTTCTTTCATTTTTTTTTGGGGGGGCCCTCCGAAAAAAAGACACACCCATATGCCACGTTGCCATTCCCACAGGAATGGATGTCCAATCCATCGCCTCTTCCGCCGCTCGAGCCGGCTGCGCGACCTCACGCGGAGCCCACTTCACCATTTTTTTTGGGCGGGGAGGTGTCCTCTCTTTTTTTTTGTGCGGAAGCCCCAAAAGGGTGGTGGTTTTCATGAGTTGGGAAACCAAGAGATCCTCCCAGGTCCTACAGTAGGGAGGGTAGAAAAAGGGCACCCACTTTTTGTCTGTAGTCGATTTTAGCAGGGGAACCCTCCCCCAAAAGGGAGAAAGGGCACTACAGGGGGGGCCAAGAAAGGATTCGTCCCTCACATCGGCGAACTTCCGAGCGCCCTTTCTCCCACACTGCCCAGTGCTTTCCCACGGGCCCCGCAACACCCCCACTTCCCTGCCACACTGCCTCTGCCAGAGCCAAAGCGTCGGCCAGCGACTTCTGCAGTGTGAGCCTCAGCCCGACGCATGACACCGCATGACACCGCATCATGCAGCATGCTGTGTGGTTGCCATGCACAAAGCATGGAACTTCCGTGCAAGCCAAGCTGCTGTTCCAAACCTTAGATGTTCAAAGCTTTGCTCGGCCCGCAGGCTGCTTGCCCTGAATTGTTTGCGCTGCAGGCAAACGTGCCTTTCTTGCCTCCGTTCTGAAACGAACACTACAAGTACCCACACTCACCTTCATGCCATCAGAAAGAAGTACAAGCAAAACATGATCTCAAACAAATAGGAGTCCTGACACTCTAGCCATCTCGCGATCAAGTGGACAAGGCACGCTGGTCATCTTCCTCCAGAGCCAACTCAGGTGATACGGTTGCCGCCTCTGACACCGTGCGAGAGGGAGGTTTGTCCAGATTCTCCCGCAGTGCATCAACCTCCGGTGCAACAATTTCTCTACTACTCCCACGAGGTTGCTACTCGTTTCTTGCAACCTGCCTCAGCTTGCGAAGCTGCAACGCTCACCTGCACGCAGCGAGGAGAAAAACAAGGTTTTTGGTCTAGGCAGGGGCAGTCACTTGCTACAACTTCACCAACTTCGTCGGCCATCAAGGCAACGTCCAGTGTTGATGCAACGCGCTCAGCCTCTGTCGGCGTGAAGACGGTGGAGCCGTTACGCACTACCTGGCCATCAGTCCCAAGCAGACCAAATCTGTGCACATGTTGCAAAATGTCGTAGGCACGCCTGTCTGTGTGTTTGTGTGCAGTGCAACTGGCAGAATCAACGTGCTGACAAATCCGTCCTGCCTCATTAGCATCCAACTCGACATTCTTGACCGCAGTGTCCAGCAATTCCTGGGCATGCTGCTTGTCTGCGCAGGCCTCTCTGAACAACATGCAGCCCACAGCGCATGACATGAGAACAAAGCGGAACTAATATCATCCTAGACTCGTGAGCCAGCGTCTCTCCCACATCCGGCGTCACTATGTCCCGTGATGCCGGTTGCTGCGAAGCGATCTCCCGTTGCACAGTCTCCTTCTCTGTCACCTGAGGCAAGCTACCACAACCACAGCCTCGTCCCTCAGACCCCGTTTCCCTTCAACCCCCAACGCGCTGCTCCACGTCTTCAACTGTTATCTCGATTGCCCTTTTTGCCTTTGCCGCCATTACCCCCCCGTTCTTTCCAGACCCCCATTGGCACCTCGCCCCACTTCCCTGCCACACTGCCTCTGCCAGAGCCAAAGCGTCGGCCAGCGACTTCTGCAGTGTGAGCCTCAGCCCGACGCATGACACCGCATAATGCCGCACGATGTGTGGTTGCCATGCACAAAGCATGCATGGAACTTCCGTGCAAGCCCAGCTGCTGTTCCAAACCTTAGATGCCCAAAGCTTCACTAGGGGCCCCCGACTGCTCGCCCCGCCTTGCCCAGATTTACAGTGGTTTCACTGGATTGTTTGCGCATACAGGCAACCGTGACTGTATCGCCTCCGTTGTGAAACGAACCCGACAAGTATCAATCCTCATCTTTGTGCAATCAAAAAGAGTTAGAAGGGAGTCCTGACACTCTAGCAACTCGCGATCAAGTGGACAAGGCACGCTGGTCATCTTCCTCCAGAGCCAACTCCGGTGACACGGTTGCTGCCTCTGACACCGGGCGAGAGGGAGGTTTGTCCAGATTCTCCCGCAGTGCATCAACCTCCGCAGCGCAGAAAACGTCACTACCACTGCCGCAACTTTACTACTGGTTGCAAGCACCCTGTCCACCCTCCAACCTGCCTCAGCTTGCGAAGCTGCAACGCTCACCTGCACAGGAGAAAAACAAGGTTTCGGTCTAGGCAGGGGCACTCATGCGCTAAGACTTCGCCGATTTCTTCAGCCATAAAGGCAACTTCCAGTCTTGATGCAACGCGCTCGGCCTCTGTCGGCGTGAGGACGGCGGAGCCGTTACGCACTGCCTGGCCACCAAAAGCCATCATTCTCTATAAGTCTCCATCCAAATGCGCATATGTTGCAAACTGTCGTAGGAAGCTGAGCCTCATCCAACTCGACATTCTTGACCGCTGTGTCCAGCAATTCCTGGGCATGCTGCTTGTCTGCGCTGGCCTCTCTGACCAACATGCAGCCCACGTCGCATGACATGAAAACAAAGTGGAACTAATATCATCCTAGACTCGTGAGCCAGAATCTCTCCCGCGTCTGGCGTCACTACGTCCCGTGATGCCGCTTCCCGCGAAGCGATCTCCCGTTGCACAGTCTGCCTCTCTGTCACCTGAGTCAAGCCCCGCTCCAGAGCCAACTCCGGTGACACGGTTGCTGCCTCTGACACCGGGCGAGACGGAGGTTTGTCCAGGTTCTCCCGCAGCGCATCAACCTCTGCAGCGCAGAAAATGTGGCTACCACTCCCGCAACTTTACCACTGGTTTCAAGCACCCTTTCCCCCATCACACCTGCCTCAGCTTGCGAAGCTGCAACGCTTACCTGCACTGCAGCGAGGAGAAAAACAAGGTTTCAGTCTAGGCAGGGGCACTCATGCGCTAAGACTTCGCCGATTTCTTCAGGCCATACATGGCAACTTCCAGTGTTGATGCAGCGCACTCGGCCTCTGTCGGCGTAAGGACGGCGGAGCCGTTACGCGCTGCCTGGCCATGAGAAGCCATTCTCCATAAGTCTCCATCCAAATGAAAACATGTTGCAAAATGTCGCACGCCCTGTGTGGTGTGTGTGTGTGTGCAGTTGCAACCGTTGCAGAATCAGCATCCTGACAAATTTGTCTTGCCTGGTTGACATCCAACTCGATGTTCTTGACCGCTGCGTCCAGCAATTCCTGGGCACACTGCTTGTCTGCGCTGTCCTCTCTGACCAACATGCAGCCCACGTCGCATGACATGAAAACAAAGTGGAACTACTATCATCCTAGACTCGTGAGCCAGAATCTCTCCCGTGTCTGGCGTCACTACGTCCCGCGATGCCGTTTCCCGCGAAGCGATCTCCCGTTGCACAGTCTGCTTCTCTGTCACCTGAGTCAAGCTACCGCAGGCACGGCCCCCCCGTCCTGGTCTCCACGTCTTCAACCGTCAAACATCTTTCATTCGCCGCTCCTTCTCGCTTCCCGCTCTTCCTGCCCTGATTGCCCTTTTGGCCTTTGCCGCCATTACCCCCCCGTTCTTTCCAGACCCCCATTGACACCTCGCCCCACTTCCCTGCCACGCTGCCTCTGCCAGAGCCAAAGCGTCAGCCAGTGACTTCTGCAGTGTGAGCCTCAGCCCGACGCATGACACCGCATAATGCCGCACGATGTGTGGTTGCCATGCACAAAGCATGCATGGAACTTCCGTGCAAGCCCAGCTGCTGTTCCAAACCTTAGATGTCCAAAGCTTCACTAGGGGCCCCAGACTGCTCGCCCCGCCTTGCCCAGATTTACAGTGGTTTCACTGGATTGTTTGCGCATACAGGCAACCGTGACTGTATCGCCTCCGTTGTGAAACGAACCCAACATGTACAAACCTCATCTTCGTGCAATCAAACATAGTTAGAAGGGAGTCCTGACACTCTAGCAACTCGCGATCAAGTGGACAAGGCACGCTGGTCATCTTCCTCCAGAGCCAACTCCGGTGACACGGTTGCTGCCTCTGACACCGGGCGAGAGGGAGGTTTGTCCAGATTCTCCCGCAGTGCATCAACCTCCACAGCGCAGAAAACGTCACTACCACTGCCGCAACTTTACTACTGGTTGCAAGCACCCTGTCCACCCTCCAACCTGCCTCAGCTTGCGAAGCTGCAACGCTCACCTGCACAGGAGAAAAACAAGGTTTCGGTCTAGGCAGGGGCACTCATGCGCTAAGAATTCACCGATTTCTTCAGCCATAAAGTCAACTTCCAGTGTTGTTGCAGCGCGCTCGGCCTCTGTCGGCGTGAGGACGGCGGAGCCGTTACGCGCTACCTGGCCATCAGAAGCCATCATTTTCTATAAGTCTCCATCCAAATGTGCATATGTTGCAAACTGTCGTAGGCAGCTGAGCCTCATTAGCATCCAACTCGACATTCTTGACCGCTGTGTCCAGCAATTCCTGGGCATGCTGCTTGTCTGCGCTGGCCTCTCTGAACAACATGCAGCCCACGTCGCATGACATGAAAACAAAGTGGAACTAATATCATCCTAGACTCGTGAGCCAGAATCTCTCCCGCGTCTGGCGTCACTACGTCCCGCGATGCCGTTTCCCGCGAAGCGATCTCCCGTTGCACAGTCTGCTTCTCTGTCACCTGAGTCAAGCTACCGCAGGCACGGCCCCCCCGTCCTGGTCTCCACGTCTTCAACCGTCAAACATCTTTCATTCGCCGCTCCTTCTCGCTTCCCGCTCTTCCTGCCCTGATTGCCCTTTTGGCCTTTGCCGCCACAACCCCCCTGTTCTTTCCAGACCCCCTTTGACACCTCGCCCCACTTCCCTGCCACACTGCCTCTGCCAGAGCCAAAGCGTCAGCCAGCGACTTCTGCAGTGTGAGCCTCAGCCCGACGCATGACACCGCATAATACCACATCATGCAGCATACTGTGTGGTTGCCATGCACAAAGCATGGAACTTCCGTGCAAGCCAAGCTGCTGTTCCAAACCTTAGATGTCCAAAGCTTCACTAGGGGCCCCAGACTGCTCGCCCCGCCTTGCCCAGATTTACAGTGGTTTCACTGGATTCTTTGCGCATACAGGCAACCGTGACTGCATCGCCTCCGTTATGAAACGAACCGCAATCACAAAGAACTAGAAGAGAGTCTTGACACTCTAGCCGTCTCGCGATCAAGTGGACAAGGCACGCTGGTCATCTTCCTCCAGAGCCAACTCCGGTGATACGGTTGCCGCCTCTGACACCGGGCGCGAGGGAGGTTTGTCCTGGTTCTCCCGCAGTGCATCAACCTTCGACGCAGCACAAAAAATGTCGCTACCACTCCCGCAACTTTACTGGTTTCAAGCACCGTTTATTCCTCCAACCTGCCTCAGCTTGCGAAGCTGCAACGCTGGCCTGCACTAAAGCGAGA